TATAAATATACATATTCTTTGGTGGTTCCAAATAATTCTTTAGGGCCTTTAGATCATAGGTACCCTTGGATAAGTCATTAACTTCTTCAGGCCTCATTTCTTCACCTATAAAATAGGGGATTTATCCCACTCCAAGATGGTGGGTGTCCTTGCTTCTAGAGAATGTGTTCAACTTGACAAGAATTCTCCTTCCTAATTTTTCTCCCTCTACTTCATAATACTGATCATGGTTTTAACCATAAATTAAATCAGGACATAAAACAGTGGCAACTTAAACAAAGAAAGATGTGTTTAAATTTCCAAACAGGCTGAGAGCTAGAGCGACCATTGTGGGTTCGAAGGCATTCCTAGAGCGCTGGAGTTTTATCTGAGCATAGTTTAATAAAGGCTGCCTTAGGCATAAAGCTTTACAAACATAGCACAGATCATTCCTATCTGAAAAAAAATTGTTTTATCTTTTTCTTTTTTCCTCTGCCCCTTCAAGTGTCATAGAGCTCTAGCCCACTCATACTCCTTCCATTACTAGTGTACATTTGAAGTAGTATCTGGATCACACAAATAGCTAGAGTTCATTAACATGACAGAGGTTAGAGAAAGCAAGACAGTAGGATTTTACTTTACTACCTTTATTAACATTCTGACAGAATATTCTGTAGAGAGGGGAGGTTAGTAAGAACCTTGAGTCCCACGTTTTTAGTTTCGCCAAGCTAAAAATGATTTTAACAGAAGCTTGCTGCCTTAACTCTCCCAGGCAGAGAGAATCAACAAATCTTCATATCCCTGGACAAAATAAACCCTGAACTCATTCACAAAATTGCCATCTTAGGTCCACCTAGCCTCATATTATGACTCTAAAAAGAGTACCTGGATACATTTTTATGGGACACAGTAACCCAAAAAGCTTGAGATAAGCCTGAAATCTGTGATTCTTAATTTAAAAAAATAGGAAGATCCAAATCTGAAGGGGAGAACAATCACATCTTAATCACCAGGAGAGCTTTTTGAAACCATCACTTTCCAGAAACAACTCTCCTTGTCCTTTCCAGAGAAAATCAGAATCTCCTTGAAGGGAACTATGGCTAGGCTTTATAAAAGCTCCCCCCAGAATTCACACTTGAGGGAGTGCCTTTGTCTACATGCGGGTTCACAGGCATATATGCACAAATGTGTACACATACACATTCTCTCGCTGCTTAAAATCGGTGTCCTGAAGAATCCTAATAAATCATCCATAGACTCGTCTTAAAACTTAAGAAGCTATTCACAGTCACCCCACCTTCATCTAGGGAATAGGATGCCAACTGTGTGTTAGGTTATACAATAATCAAAGAGTATCCGGAAACATTAGAACTTTTTCTTCTGAACAGTTGAGCTTTCCAAGTAGCTGAAGATCTGCCCATTTAAGCATCAAGCCTTTTTTCCTTCAAAATACTATTTCAGCAATTTTGGATATGAAGCTGTCTAAAATTTATTGCATGTGTTCAATTTTCTGAATTTAATTTAGCCACATCTTCATAATTCAAGGCTGTTACCATAGGCATTGATTTCTATACTGGGACTAGACAGAAGAAAGTCCATGAAAGAAGACAGCAATAAATGGCCACCGAAGGCAAGTAGAAAGTTGGAGAACAACAAGGTAAAAATAGGACTCTAAATAAAAAGGCTGGAAGAGAAGTCAGAAGTGAGGTGGAGAGCCAAGGAGATAGAGGAGGTCACCTATGAACAGGATAGGATTTAGGGAAATTGTTTACAAGAGGCATTGGTTTTGTGACTTGACTTTCTGGGCCAGCATTGCTGTGGTACACTGGCAAAAATCTCTAGTCTAAAGGACCCTTTGCTGCTGTCAAAGTCTTCCTCTAGCCCTATCATTCTAACTCAGTGCTTCTGACTTCTTGTGGTCCTGCAGATAACTAACCTAGTCACATGAATAAAGGGCTAAAGGCTGCCTCTCTGATAAGTCAGCGGTGTGTGTGCTCTGTCTTCTCTTAGAGTATTCAGGGATCTCTTTGATTTAGTCCCTGGACCTTGGCTGTGCTTCAGTAGGTGAGATTGCTGCAAAGCTGAGCCACAGATACATAAGGAGTTGCTATTCTTTTTTATTTTCTGCTAAAACTTTCTCCTTCTGGACCATCATGTTGCAACAGTGATCATGCCCATCCCTTTCCAAACTAAAAGGTTCCATCTTGGGCTATACCTTTTCTACTTGTGGGACTCTAATCCAGGCAGATCTTGTTGGTTGTGTCATGGAGCAGCCAGTGCCAGAAACCACTAAGAAGGGACACATTCACCAAGAACTCACTAAGGTTCTCTAAGTTACCAGCTTCATTGGACACTTCCCTGCCTGAAGATCATATGATTTCTGGGAGGAAGAGATATCATCAGCAAGCCTGCTGGCAGAGGACAATCCTCAGAGACAGTATCAAGGGGCAACAGGATAACAGCAATTTAGCGGCTTACATTACAGGTAGCAAGACCTAAGAGACCCTGCCTCTAATTTACTGAAGTCATGTAACTAAAACAGGGCCAAAAAGAACAATCTATGATGCTGTTATCAGCACAGAAAGAAATGTAAGAGTGATTTAATTGGGGGGGGGGGGAAGGTGAGTGGTGGGGAAGAAGATGTAATCATGTTTGTTTACACTTTGCAATGTATCTGGATATCCTTAATCTGGCTTCTTTTCATAGGAAACAGTCTTTGCTTTCCCTCCAAATATCACTCCACCCTCTGGCCTAGTTTTTCTTATTTCTCTTCTCTTCTGGCTGATACCAAGGAAAAGAGAAAGAGAACAATTTGCTGGTAACAGGATAGTGTGTGGTGCAGAGCAGAAGGGACTTGGGAGTCAGAGCTAGATTTGTATCCAGACTTGCCACTTCCTAGCTGTGTGACCCTGGCCAAGTTACTTAATTTCTCTAGGATTTAGCATCATTCTCTCTAAGATGGGGAAAGAAGATAGTAGTGGAAAGTATACTTCATTGTGCAACGTTCAATGTATGGCTGTATCACCTGAAATAACATTTCGGAAGTGCTTAGCACAGTATCTGGTTCACACACACATGAGCATGCTCTCTATCTGACTCTGCAGGCTGTGACAGAAGCAATGGTCCCCCTGTTGGTGCTGCCCTCATGGTGGTCTCAGAGCACTAGCTAAGATTTAAAGGCCTCTAAGTAGAGGTTCTTGAGGAACCATTTTAATAAGAGTTATTTACTTTGTGAACACGCACGTGAACTAGTACTTTAAACTTGTTTTTAAAAATTTTAACTTATTCTTGAGGTCTCACAGACAACATTTATTTGCATGGCGATTCTCCATTTTCATAATGCATACAATAACAATTCTTATCCTAATTATCAAACTTTCCAAATAATTCGAATCCGGAACAACTAGAGGTTTCTGCATACAGATGTCAATTTCTTTTTTTTTTTTCTCAAGTAAACCCACTTTTTAATCATGTTGTCATACAAACCTACTCCTTAACATTGGGGTTCCCATGGGTCTTTTCTTAATCCCCTTTAGTTTCCATCTACACAGTCTCTGGAGGGCCACCTTCTCTCTAGTCTCTCTTCACCTCCAAATACTGAAAACCATGTTCCAGGTACCCTCAATAAGCCCATTCAAGACTCTGTGTTTGCACAATCTGCTGTTTTGCCAAGAATGAACATCTCCCATACTGTTTTAAAACATATACCATACCCGAGGCCCTGCTCAAATGTCAGCTCTCTGGTGAAATCTCCCCAACTACACTCTATATGCTGGTACACATTGTTCATATGACACTATGGTATATTTAAAGTTGTCTCTCTCATTTTTTTTTTTTGAATTGGAATCTCACTCTGTCGCCCAGGCTGGAGTGCAGTGGCACGCTCACAGCCACCTCAGCCTTGACCTGCTGGACTCAGGCAATTCTTCCACCTCAGCCTTCCGGGTAGCTGGAACTATAGGCACACGCCACCACGCCCAGTTAATTTTTGATTTATTGTAGAGATGAGGTCTCGCCAAGTTGCCCAGGCTGGGCTCAGGCAATCCTCTTACCTCAGCTTCCCAAAGTGCTGGTATTATAGGCGTGAGCCACCTCACCTGGTTAAGTTGTCTCTTTACACAGCTGCCTCTTGTACCAGACTCAGGGCTTCTTGAACGGTGCATTAATGTGCATAAAAAGCAGCAGGGGATCTTGTTAAAACATAATTCTGATTCACTAAGCCTGGGGTGTAGCCTAAGATTCTGCATTTCTCACAGTCCATAGATGATGCCGATGCAACTGCGGCTGAACACCACTTGAATAGCATGTTTTTAAGAGCATCTCTGAAATCGTTTATAACTTGATACTTCATCATCATCATCATCATCATCATCATCATCATCATCACCATCATTTGACACAGCTGCCCACTACTCTACTAGGAAGATGAGGAGACATCAGGGCTGTTGAAATAATGGAGAAAAGGGTGTGGAAAAAGGATAGGTGGGCACACACGTGTGCATGTTGCAGGGTGGCCTGGAATGCGTGGATAGAATGTGAAAGGACATAGTATGAGGTTGATGAAGAGGCTGGAGGTAGCAAAGATAGGAAGAAGAAAGAGTGAAAAACGTAAGAAGAGAGAACACAATCAGAAGGAAGAGACGCAGAAATAAAAGGAGAAAAGAACAGCCAAAAGATGAAAAATAGAAAATCAGCTAGCTGACTTCTCTCCTCAGGAGAGAATCAGGCCTCCATTAGTTGAGGGGTTTGACTTCTGGACTAAACCTGTCCCAAGGGTAAATACTCCAGCTGTTCATGCCACCAAAGATGTGTGTTCAGACTTCAATACTTTATTCTAAAGGACTCTTCCTGAGTGGTTAGGAATGAGCTATTACCATAACAGTAATAGCAAATGAGGGCCTATATCATGATTGTGAATGCATAGAATGGTTTGTATCAACTGAAAAATCCAAGACGGTAGAACTCGTTTACCCTAAGACCTCAAACAGATTGCCTATTAAAACAAACCCAATGAACGTTACCTGATATAGCTCAATCCGTTGTTCAGGCACTCTGGCTTTGGGGTTCTGCAAACGAAAGACTCTGAACTCGGCTTTCACCAAATTAGAAGCATTCTTCTCCATTGCTGAGACGTCAAATCGGACAATTCTGAAGTAGGGTCTGTAGAAAGTGGGTGGGATGGCATCTGCAAAAAGTTAAGGCAATCATTGAAAATGATAAAATCCATTGTGCTCTTAAAAAGACCATAGCATGAGATAATACCAAGAAACCATACGGGAAATATCTACAGAATGATTTTGTTTCCAATGGCCAATTTAATACCATTAACAATTTAACCAGAAAAAATAAAATAAATGTGTGCATTTGGTTATAGGAGTAGTGGATTAATAGAGATTAAGAAACTACTTTCAATTCCATTTGAGAGCATGCAATTAACCCTGTTCTTTGAAGGTTGACAAGAGTGGTGGAAAATCCTAGATGGTTATGAATTGGAACAAGTTTATGACAATTGATGTCTGGAGAGAGCTGTCGGGCTTGCATACACTTTCATCAGATGTGCCAAGAAAACAGTTTCTAATAGCAAGCAGTTTGCCCATGTACTTTTTTTCCTTGAAAGTTTGGCATCCAAATAATCTTCATTTATCCAGGCTCATGTGCTACATCTTTTTTGGCTTCAATATTTTAGTTTTTCACACACATATGACCAAACACATTCTCTGCTCAAGTTACAGTGAGGAAATCTGAATAAACAAAACTATACCCACAAACTGGCTTATGCCAGGTCCAGTCTTAAAATTTTTTATTCAGGATAATGTCTGTTGGTGGGAGGTAATCCCAGCTTAATAAGGAAAAAGAATCAACACAAATTCCTTCAGTTGTGAACCGTGAAAAATACAGAGTTGCTGAGAGTATTCAACAATTTCATGCTTGTGGGTTGCTTAGGGTTCTGCTGTTACTTTTCTAATGATATGCCGTGGCCTCTGAATATATAACTGAAGTCAGACCAAGCCTAAAGCCGGTTCTATTCTACCCTCGTGCTTTCAAATATGATGTTCATTTATTGAGCACCTACACTGGGCAGACCACTTATTACTACAGTCTTCTACAGTCTTCTTCCAAAAATCTCCTGCAAACTTTTTTTCCCCACTCCAGTGTCCCATCCAACTCTAGTGGCTCCATTTCTTCCTGCCCGCTCTTCAATTATCTGACTTCATTACAACATAATCATTCACAGTTGTTTAAGTTACTATGCAAATGGTTTTATTACTTCTGCATTATGTTTATTTTGCCCCCCCATCCCCTGCCATGAAATTTTAAGAATCTTGAGGGCAAAGAGTGCATTTGCCAGGATTTTTTTTCTTTCCCACGTATCTAGGACAGGGCTCTGCACACATGGAGTTCACCAAATACCCACTATTTGCATAGTTGATCATCAACAGGAATCTTGAAAGACTCAGGCAGTTGGCTACTGGCAACACTAACTTCTTATTAAATAAACGAGCCATCTTGCCGATCTCAAAATAGAAATAAATACCTTTCGTGATTTCTTGGGAAGTCCATGCCCTGATGATTACACTGGGGAAAAAAAGTGCTAGGAACACACCAGTATTTTCTCATCTTAAGAGTACTGAATTTTTTCCTTCCTAGGGACGTTCCCCTATTCCTCTCCCTTTCCCATATACTTGTGAGTCTCAGAAAGCAGACTCCTGGAGAAGTGGTGAATTCTACGCCATGCTCCATGCTGCTTTAAAATAACTGTGTGAATTGAAGCTTTGTGGCTCATGAATCAGAAGTCTCAGAAATAAACAAACAAACAAAAAACCCCCCAAAATCCAAAGCATCCAGGTTTCAGAGAAAAGAAAGTATTCATGCAGATGTGATGATGATCTGCTACATCTGGGAAATAAACGATAGGCAGGCCGCTTTTAGGCCAGCACACGGTACACGTAGAAAGGCGTTTGGAGCCCCCTAGCACGGCCATTTGAGAAGGTAGCTGCTGAGAAGAAATATATCTTTTTCTCCTCTGCAATATGCTCACCCTCATAATTAGATAGCACCCTCATAATTGGTGGGCATATTGCAGAGGAGAAAAAGATATATTTCTTTTAAAACAGCGCGGAGCATGGCGTAGAATTCACCACTTCTCCATTTATTTCTGTCTTGACGGTCTGATAACAAAAATCTGCGCTTTTCTTTCTTGTTTTATAAGTAGAGACAGCTGGTATATCCTGACCAGTTCAACTGAAAACAGGCCTGATGCCCAGATAGAGTAGCCAGGGTAGAGCTAGGGTCAGGTTCTCTGGCTCTGTACACCCTCTTGGTCAGAACCTTCCTCAAGCCGAGGACCGCATTCATCTTCTCATACCCTCTGCGTTAGACAGCAGAAACTGCGAGTATCGTTTGGAAGAGAAAAGTTAATTTAGTGTGTTCCCTGTCATTAGGAAGAATAAACACCTCATTCATTTTTCCCCTTCTTCTTCATGAAGCTCCCTGCAAGCCTCTTCTACTTCCACAAACACTCATCTTTCACATCCACCTGCCTCAATCTTATCCTTCCATCAAGTTTGTAAATAAGTACTCTTGAGATTTATTTTTATTCTCTTTTGTGTTTATTAAACTTTGAACAATTTTTTTCCCCCTTTCTGGTCTTCTGCCCATCTACACTCTTCCATTTTATAGCTGCCTTGGACCATGAGGTCAGTTTTGTTTCTTCTTCTCCTAAGCAAATCGTCCAATGATCTTGTCCTAGGCTTTTGAGCTTTGAAGGGGCATTTGCAAATATTTACAGGAGTAGCCTGCTTGCTAAGTACATTTCTGCTCAGCTGCCTATACATTGGCAAACAGCCCTCCTCCCTTCTGGCTCTTATAACCATTTAGACGGCTTATATTTCAACGGCCTGATAACAAAAATCTGCGCTTTTCTTTCTTGTTTTCTAAGTAGAGGCAGTTATTATTGCATAAAGTGAAAGGATGCAAAGCAGCCCCCAGTCACGACTCTGCTTCAGTCTTGTGACCACAGCAAGGCAACCGGGCCAGGAGGAAGCAGCACCCTTAAACAGTTCTCCACTTTGGCACATGAAAGCACGATGAACACTGTTGACCAAAGAAGTGACGGCCACTGCCAAGGGTCAGTGACAGCTGTCCCTTGCTGTCATCTGCTATGGGCCATAAGCCCCCTACCTAGCTGAGCTACTGGTCAAATGTTTCATTTGGAAAAACCAAATCGCTGTAAATTGCTCTGGCTTCATCCATGACCTGACATTACTTCATATATGCTTCTGGATGCGTGGTACAGGGGGACCCAAAAAGGCCCCTCTACACCCAGCTTGGACACGGCAGGCTCCCTCCCTAAGCTCAGGGAGTGCAGGGTCGGTATTTAATGGCTTGTGCAGCCCTTATCCACCCACTTAGTCTTGGAGGGATGGAGTTTTTTCCTCTGCTTCCTCCAAGAACTCATTTCCCCCTTTGGAATGGGAGTTCTCTCTAAAGTCCTCTGTAATTCCCATCCCAGTTCCTATTCCATTGCCAGGTGGTCAGGTACTTGTGCTTGACCTTTGCCAACTTACCCACACTCACTTCCTGGCCTGCTCCTTCCTCGCAATTTCTGACCTACTTTTTTAGTTCAATCAAATAGATTTTCCTTCAACCCTTTGGATTTCATATGAGCAGGCTGATTCTGGTCCTCCTCCCATACTTTCTCATGGGCCTTCCTTGCAGGGAAAATTTTGCACATAGAAGATTCCAGCATGTCATCAACTGAGTGGTATCTCCCTCACCTCAACCCTGGCCACACATCCCTGCTAAATCAAACTTTGGGGAGTGGAAAAAGAAGAAAAAAAGAGAAAACCTGAGGAAATTTAACTAGTCATTGATTTTTAAAGTAACAGTGTACAGAAAGCCTAAATATAGGACTTAATTACATACTACTTTACAAACATAATATGTTGACTTGTATCTATTCCAAATACTTTACTGACTTGTTGTGCATTATTTTCTCCCTAGTTAGCACCTTGAGCTCAGAAATTTTTCCTAATAGTTTTTCTCCACAGTCTAGGGCTGGCTTCTGGGGCATGTGATCAGCACAGTTGCTCACAAAGGCCTCCTCCCACTTGAGTTTTCTACTCTGTGGTCACCATCTTGAAATCCTTAATAATTTTATCTTTGAATGCATGTTTTGTAAGTGAAGTCTTGGAAGCATGTGCAGAAGGCTTGGAACCTCAGATCCTGTGCTATCCTACCTCCTGTCACCTGTCTGCTTCCTCAGGATTCTCTGCCTCCTATTCCTTACCCTCTTGTTCCTCAGTCACACTTCAGCCCACCCAATGATTACTGTTGTCCTCCACCGCTGGGAGAACTGGGGTCAGGCAGACAACCTGCAGCATTTCAGGGAAGGGCCTGGTGACAGCTGTTTCCACTCCACACTCGTAGTGCCACAGAACATTCAGTGGGCAACTCAGTAGGAGCATGCCTCATGCTCAATCTTAATCTAGTACCAAGTACAACCCAGTGTGGAGTTTGAAATCCTATGGGTTGGAGCAGAAGTCCCATGGGAAGAGAGATTTGGCTCCACATGACATCAGTCTGATGAATGGTGGCAGGGGGACCCAGCAGCCAGTGGACTGTGTGCTTCAAGTTATAAGGGAGGGCCCTGGGTACCTGTGAGAGTCTCCTGTCATTCTGGGAATATTCCTATACCCAAGTAAGCACAATATCAAATAGCACATAAAAAACAGCACAACAATCAGAGAGAGAGAGAGAGAGAGAGAGAGAGAGAGACAGATCGATCATGGAACAAAGGAAAAAGTTTCATATTTTAGTATCTTCAATATACTATTTTCTTGCCTTTTGAACAAGAGGCCCCACATTTTCATTTTGAGAAAGAGTCCTGCAAATCTTGTAGCTAGCTCTGCCAAAGCCACATATAGTTTTTATAGGATCTTAATTCACTGAGTAGGACATTTAAGGCTATCTGAATTTTAGTCCCAAATCAACCAGCTCCCAGCTGTGTGGCAACAGGGACATTACTCGGCTTTTTGAGCCTGTTTCTTCATCTATATAATGAGGTATATAATTTCCTGCCTTATACATATTGAATCATGTTGTCAGGATTATATAAGTCAGCAGATGGAAAGTTAGAACTCTGGGTCTAGCACAAATTTCTACTCAGGTTCTGTCCTGCCTCCC